TTCTAAAATGGTGGATAAATTTGTTTTCTCCCCCTATCCAGGAACTGATACTGATTCTAACCAATCCAACAGTTATCAAAATACCTGAAAGCAAATCCTGAATCCATCACTCTTGAGTCCAGCCTTGGGAGACAAAAAAAATGAGGAGGAACCCAATAGAGGGATGCTTTTGGAAGCCCTTGTCAAGAAATCCCAATGGACTCCGATATGAACATTTGAAATTTGTCCTGTTGTGACTTTTTTCTGGTTCTCCATCTAGAACTTGTAATGCTAACTACTCTTGCCTTTACTTCTCCTTCACATCCCTATTCACCAGTCAAGGACTTTCTTTTCTCCCTACAGATAAGAGTTCTGCAATTTGGGAGCCTTTTAACATTACTGAATAGGTACACCAATTGCCTCACCCTGCATCCCTGTTCAGCATGGAAGAAACCAGAGCAGTTTGTGTCCTGATTCCCTATCAGCAATTTGGGTAACCGCTGCAGAGGATGGTGTGATAAGAACAGGAGGTAGGAATTGGCTAGGCAGTTAGTGTAAAAAGACCCCAGAGAAAAGTAGCCAGTTTCTTGGCTAAAAGTCAAATGTCCTTGGGCCTCTTAGCAACATACTCTGTTCCAAAGGCCAAAAATGACAGAACTATTTGGGAGCTCTTATCTAATCCCTAAAAGATTTTAGGGTTACCTCTTCAGAGAGGTAATGTTAGAGTAGCAAAAAGAAAGAAAAGAAAGAAAGAATGAAAAGAAAGAAAGAATGAAAGAGAGAGAGAAAGAAAAAAGAGAAAGAAAAACAAAAAGAAAGTACATGAAGTTGATGGGGAGATATGGGAGGTGTTGGAGGAGAGGGAGCGGGCATGGATTTGATCAGAACACCTTATATGCATGTATGAAATTCTCAATAAAGTTTTTCTTTAAAGTTAAAAAAAGAACCCTCAAGTTAGCAAGTCTTTATGTCCATGCTGTGTGAATGGCACCTCCTAGAGCTGTGTGGTGCTCAACCTGCACAGCACATGCAGGGATCCTGGTTGCTTTACTTGATGACATCAGAGAAAGGGGGCCAACGTGGTTGCCCTGTTATTCTATCCTACTTTTGGAAATTTAGCCCTATAATTCTCCCCCTTCCTATTTCTTCAGAACCTTTTAGATTTGATAGTTTTTCTATGCTGAAAACTTATTGTGCCCTAAAACCCCAGCAGTAATCGCTACAGAATGATATTTATGAGAATGAATTATATAACTTTATCTCCTACATAAAGAGGGAGACATAATTAGAAGGCTTACATCTTGAATGTGCATCTTAACTGCCTAAATGATTGTCTCCTCCAATCCAGCCTCCTGCCCTTCCTTTGATAATAGAACTCCCGAAATTAGCAGAACACACAGCCACTCTGCTGTCCCTGCACTTTCTGGCCTTCCTCGTAGCTGCAGAAGTCCTGTGATTAGCTGTGAGCAATGGGTGAGTGGAAGAAGTGTGCAGCTTCAGGTTTGGCCCCACAAGGAAAGGATGTGATGTTTGCTTCTCCTTCTACCTCTCTGGGTGACTACGATACAGACGGGGAGGGAAAGTGGACCAGTCATCTCAGACTCCGAGACAGAAGTTACTTATGTGATCTATACTTGTTCCATGGACCAAACCTCAAGCAAAATATTTCTATCAAATTTTGCCTCTTTGTGGTCACCCTAATAATAAAAATTGGTTTCCTTACATATATTTTATATAAACAGTAGTTGTCATTATAATTGTTTGCTCAAACTGCTCACTCTTTATTACTGCCTTGTGAAGCATCTTCATCTCAAGGATGCTTACATTTATCGACTTGTACCTCATGCTCAGTATTGTGCTTGCTCATGCTAAGTATTCGATGTAAAGTATTCATTTATATACAGGAATAAGCCAATGAAATGTAGCCTGTCATATGCTATGTTTAGACATGTGTTGTACATTCTGAGAATTTCAGACCTTACCTCAAAGTTTTCTTTCACTTAGGATAGTGTTCTGCAGATCTGTCACTCAAAACCAGAGGGTCAGAAATAAGTGAGGTCAACACAGGAGTTTCTTCATTCAGCTTTTCTATCTAGTAAGTGGCAATGGTGTAAACTCCTGAGATGAGGAGTGTTTCTTCTACCCTCCTGTTGTGAGGGAATATGGAGACTCCCTCTACTTCTGCTACTTTGGGTCATGTTTCATGGTATCTTGATTCTTCCTCTTGCTTTTTACACCTGTCACAAAATTTGACTTTTAGAGCTGGGCATGGTGACCCATGCCCTTAATCCCAGCACTTAGGAGGCAGAGGCAGGTGGATTTCTGTGATATCAAAGCCAGCCTGGTCTGCATAACCAATTCCAGGCCAGCTGGAGCTACAGGGAGACCCTGTCACAAAAAAATAAAATTGACTAATTTAAACTAAGCCTGAGGGAGACTCATTTTAAATAAATGAAAGTATTGTAGACACTGGGAAAGGTAAATGAGTGTGACTTATTACTCTCCAACATAGTACAGATTTACATACTAAGGTTAAATGATATAGTAATGCCAACACAAATCCACTATTCTATACAATTAATGTGTGCTAATTTTGATGATTAATCCTGATTGTCAACTTAATTAGATTGATGAATACCTAGGAGATTAGTAAAGCACATCTTAAGGGGCATCTATGAGGGTGTTTCCAGACAATTAGATCATAAGGTCTCAACCTAATGAACGAATTAATCCATTGATTCTATATTGAGTAGACTATAGGGAGGTGGTAGAACTGTGGAAGGTGGACCTGGTTGGAGGAATAAGTCACTGGGGCTTTGTCCCTGGAGGCTTTCTCTTACCTGGTCTCTTCCTGTTACTGCTCCACTCTCTTCCTGTCTACCGTATTGTGAGCTGCTCTGTCATGCTTTTCCTGCTTTGATGGACAGAAACCTCTGAAACCATGAGCCAAAATAAGTACTCACTTCCCTTAAGTTATTCTCCCAAGTGTTTTGTTTACAGTTACAGAAAACAGACTAATACACTAATAAAAAGAAAAGGATTAAATGAATTGAATAAAAGTAACATGTTTATAAAAATTTCACATTATAAGTAGTTTTAGCTTATCTGAGGTGTTGTAAAATACCCCTATTATTTAATGATTAACATATATCTGTATGTGTGTGCTTCTAATAATTTATAATAGAGAATACTTGTGTATGTGTAGAAAATTTCTGGAAAGATATACAAAACCCACTAACCATGTTAATCTCTGGAAATTAATAGCTAAAATATATGGTGGTAGAAAACTTTCACTTTTAATTTTTCTGCTTTTAACTTTTGATTTTTTATGTGTAGAAACTAGAATTCTAAGAAACTAGCTTAAGGGGTATGAATATATCTCAGTGGTAAAGTGCTTACCTAGCATCTTAAGGCTCTGGATTTGATCCCAAGCATAAGGAAGGAAAGAATAGTTGTGAACTCTGTGGATTCAATAGAAAGTAGAAAATGGGGAGCAAGACCTCTTAGGTAGAAGAAAGGTGAGTGTTGGCTCGTTCTACTAAAGAGGATGGAATGAGCCTTACCTAAGGGATATCAGAGGGTTGGCTAACTTGTCAATGAATCCAGTGATGAAAAGAGCAATGGAATAGTATGAAGGGATAGAATAAGGTAAATGAGACCATCTCAGAGTTCTAGGTGGATATGTTCTGTACTTAAGGCTTGTTCTAGTTAACAAAAATAGGCTAGTTATGTTCTGTACCTGTATGTGACTAAATTATGTCACAATCTGTAATAGTAGTCTAAGAGAAAAAGTATTTCTGCACTAGATTTGAATTTGGCCAATGTATCAGAGACATTCTGTAGAATTTTGATCTCATAAATCACAAATAATCAGAAGTTTAGAGTCATGCATGGTTTTACATGCCTGTAACCCCTGCATTCAGGAAGCTGAGGCAGGAGGACTGAGAGTTCAAGGCCAACCTGAGCTATATAGCAAAAACCTCTCTCTCTCTCTCTCTCTCTCTCTCTCTCTCTCTCTCTCTCTTGCTCTCGCTCTCTCTCTCTCTGAAAGAAAAGCATAAATTTTTTGGCAGAGAAGTCTTAATTATCATTTTTTAAAAAGTCACTCTCTTTTGGTTAATTTCATGGTTTTCATTCAAATTAGTGCATTAATCAATGTGATAATTCTTATTTTTTTTTGAGATAGGGCCTTACCAGCTAGCTTAGAAGCTAGACCAGACTAGCTTAGAACTCACAGAGCTCCTCCTGCCTCTGCTTCCCAAATGGTGGGATTAAAGGCATGTCCCATCATGCCCCGCTTATGATTCTTACCTTAAATAAGAAATAAGAAATATTTCTCAGTAGGCTTTATGTTTCTAAGTATGTATATGTGATACACTACCTAGTGGGTATTGAAGTGGAATAATTCATCATTTTCCCTCTTGATGTGAATTTAGGTATACAGTCTTTTCTTGTGCTCTGGATAGAGTAGAAGCATGTATATTAGCCTTTTTCTTTAACTGCCCTATTTTAAAATACATTCATTTACGAGAACACAGCTGCAGTCTGTAAGTCCAATTTCATGCACAGCACCATAGCCATTAAAATGGAGACAAGTTAGCTCATTAGAAGAATGTATATCCTCAAGGGAACTAATCCCAGGGCTTATACTTTTAGCATATTTTGAGAAAATTATGTTTAAACCAGTGGATATTTGTATTTGTCCTATTCCCCAATATGATTTACAGCTTTAAAAAATCATTCTCATAGGCACCCACATGTTCACGCTTGTAATTATATGGTCTATATTTATCTGAAAATTTTTCTTTTGTCCAAAGGCTGCTGTATGTGTGTGTATGTGCATGTGTACGTGTGTGTGTGTGCGTGTGTGTAAGAAAGTTCATCAAACAAATACATTAGACATGTATTAAAACACAAGGCATGATGTGGATGAGAATATTGGTCTTGGAGTTGTCCATTTGTCCGTCCAGCACATTACTTCATTGTACTTTTTCTTCTGACTTTCTTCCTCTCGCCTTCAGGCTGGGAAGTGACGACATCCGTTTTGAGGTGAGCATGGCCAATGATGGATGTGAAGTGCATCGTTTCGATCCCAGTGTCAAGTCAGCTCATGTTCTGGAGAGTGAGCACCTTTGGCATCACCGCTTGTCCGTCGATTGGCGGGATCCCCATCCAGCTGTGGCTGCCCAAAAACCACACAGCAACACTAGAAAACTGGGGAGCATTTTGAATGAATTTGGGCATCACAAGGTGAGACTTCTCACTTGATTTCATAAATAAAGTGAACAAATTCATCAATTTATGAGAAATCAAAACTAAGGATAACAATGTCAGACACTGGAAAGTTGAAGGCCTGGTTTTAATCTTACTGGTCACCCAGCATTATTTATATTCAGCTTTGTAGACATGAGATTTTATCAAGGATAGAGATGTTTATGTTGATTTGAAGGTTTTAGTTGCTGTTGGGTAATGTTAAGATCTAGGCCGAGAGTAGACAAGTGAAGCCTACTTCTGGCAGAGGCAGACCATTTCTGCCTAGCAGTTAATCGAAATGTTCCAGAAAGGTAAACTGCTTATTTCAGCCTCAAATATACAAAAATAATCCGAGTCGTGTTTATCTTTGGTAAGACATTGCTTGTATATACTGTTTCTTGCTATTGCAACATGTTACTTTTTGGAGCCTTTTGGCTCTTCCAGGTGCAGAAAATACATATGGTTTTGACTAAAATTTACTTATAAAGTTGAATGGACACTACACATATTGCAACTTATATGTCAATGGATGTAAAATCTCTTCAAATACTTCATTGTGGAAGGATAGCGAAAAGGAAATCAATTTTGGGGTTATGTTCCTTGAACAGATGCTTTAGCATCATCACCCCAGCTAACTGTACTTACTCTTCAAGCTGGTGCTAAAAGGGTTCTGAGTGCAAATGGCTTTCTTTTGTCTCCAATTCTTCTTGGGTTTGGTCTGTCTTACCCTATGGTTCCCAGTCAGAGTTGTCATGTAATTTAGAACATGTTAGAATAGGAGTGTACCTGAGAGACAAGATGTGTGGGACTTGAAGTTTGAATTGGCTTCTCCATCTTTAATAAAAGGGCTTCCCCTGCGTTGTTCATTTTCCCCCTCCTCCTTTTCTTTTTCTTTAAAAAAAAAATCCCTTTAATTAGACACTCAGAGTGCCTTCAAGAACAGCTTCAAAGAGTTTACTGTTCTTTTAACATGTGACTAGCTATTGATTTGTCCTTTGCTTTTGCCACTGAAAGTATCTAGCATTTAATAGTCAAGAACCTTAATGTCTCCCACCTGTAATATTTTGAGTAAAATATCTACACAGAATCCTTTTCTTATGCTATTAGTTTTTTAATAAATGTGACAGGAACTGGGAGCATTTTTCAGAATTCTATTCTGTTTTATTTTGCCACTTTTACTTTTGTAAACATGTCTTTACTGCTGAGAACAAGCCTATTTCATAATATGCCAAGTCTAGATTATTCATAATACGCTTTGCTTTCAGTAAGGTATCTTGTTGCTCCCCGACCCCACTTCATGCTTGTTACTTCCTGGCCCTATCTGCCCTCATTCTTCCAAGAAAAAAAAAACTGAACAGAGAAAAAAAGATGAAGTTTTCAATAATGTTTTAGCAAAAGATTTGCTAAAGGAGAGGATAAAATGAGGCTTTGAAAAAGTGATATGTGGATATAATTCATTCAAGCACATTTCCTATAGAGAATATGTTTTGGGATAACAAGGCACAGACCTGAATTGTGTATATTTAGCTCCATAGGAGCTGCGGTGGGTAAATCTTTATGCCGAAGATAAAGCATGAGGCACTTTGCTGTGCTGCCCTGAGATAGCAGAAGCATTTATAGTGGTGCTTAAAGAGGAGAGATGCTCTAAAGGATTGTTTATGTTCAAGGCTACTTATTTTTATTAAAAACATTAATAACAGTGAAAATAGTCTGACTCCAAATTGCCAGGTATGTATTTGGTGCTTTAAAAAAAAATCTCTTGTGAAAGATTTTAAGAGATACCGATATTCTTTCATAGAGATTCTTTGGGCGAATGCTTTCAAACAGAAACATCAAAAACTAAACCCACCCGTGAGTGATTGCTTCCATTAGAAATATGCTTCTAGGGGCTACACAGTGCCAGATAAAAGGAAACATTGTTTGTGGTCTGTAGCAAGCATGGTCTTTTTTCATTTCTCTGCATGTTTGCAAACATTGATATATAAGATGTGGCAGTGCCAAGGGAGGCAGAGCAAAACAGTGAGAAGAGTCAGTGTTTTCTCTTCTTCGTGCATATAATCTGAAAGTGACAATGGAAGCCAAACAATGCTTTGAATACTTTAAAGCATCTCCTATAGTTTTGTAATAATTTCCTTGTTGGACTGTTGTCTCCTCCTCATCTTCCTCCTCATCTTCCTCCCCCCCCCTCCTCCTCCTCTTCTCTGAATCCAAACCTAGACTCCAGTCACTCAAGCAAAGAACATAGGCAGTATTTGGAGTTAGTGACAGAAAGATGTATGTGGCTTTTGTACTTCTCTAAGAATTCCTTGCTAATTTTAACTTCAAACTATAAATCAAAAACCTTTATAGAGCATTAAGCAGAAATAGCTGCACCAGCAAAACTATGTATACCAGAAGCTCAGTCTACCAGGGAAAAATATCACCTGGATGTAGTGTTATGGGGGTGATTTACCATCTAGTCCATGTTGAAATGGTTGATACTACCTATGCATTTTTCCAGAATATATAAAGATTGGATTTGAGGTTTTTGCTATTATTAATTATATTTGTGACTTTTCTCCCCAAACTTTTTCTCACATATGCAGCATTTCCTAAATGAGTAGACTTGTTAGGAGAAAGTATTATTGTTACTGTTACTAGTTGGCCAAGGGTTCCTTGCCAAGCTTGGATGGAAATTGTGGTTAGGCAAAGTGCAGGTGCCTTAGTATCAGCAGCTCAGAGTTCAGGGAGTTGGGACTCTTGCTTTTGCTGTTCAGCTCCCCTCACAGCCAGAGCTCGCAAGTCTCCCTGGCTTCCGTGGCTGGGGCTGCGGTGCTTCCGCAGTCTCCACTCTCCCGTCTTTCGCTTTGTGCAGTCTGGGTTCTCAGCAGTCTCACCATCTCAGCCCACTTCTGCAGTCCTCTACAGGCTCAGCTTTCCTCAGTCTCAGGGCCATTCTCTGGAATTCGCTATTCTCTAGCTGCTCCTTGGCATGCCTAGGGCTGGTAGCCCCGAGAATTGATGCTCGTCCTGCTCCCAGCTCAGCCCACTTTACCCATTGATAAAGTCCACAAATAGGCAATAAGACTACTGACAGGAGGCTTTGTGAATGCCTAGCGTTGCAGCATGTGGAGCAGCGTAGGAGGAAGGTCTCTTGGACCGATTCAAGAAGAGTTAGAGGAAGGCTGTTTCGTAGCCAGTCACCCATTGCACAGCCTCCTGTCTGCTAATCACAGACTTTTTGCTTAGTTATACAATCTGTGCAGACTGGACTGGGCCTGCTTATTCCAGTTGTCATGAGTGGAGTCAGTGCCCAACCTGACTGAGGGTGTGGGGAGACTTCCGGAGTGGCTGTGGGTGGAATGATCTGATGCTGATTTCACTGAAGCAACATTTCCTAGAGTTGTTTCAGAATACCTGGAGTGGCTCTGATTAAATGAAGTTTTTCGGAACAAAAGCCGTGGTTGGGGTCATGGCCATGAATTCTATTTCAGTTTCCATTATTGGAATGAAACCTCCTTCAAGCGTCTGTGGCCGGGCAAGAGAATCCTTGAGCAGCCATGAGATGATAGAGCAGCTGCAGCTGTCATGACAACAGCTGGAGGAATCACAGAACCAATAGCTAGATGATTGATGGGTCCCTCAATCGCCACCACCAACGCGAGACTGAAGTTGCAGTTGCCACCGCCTCTGATGGGATGGCTTCAGGAGTGCTACAATATCATTTCCAGCCCCACTGGCTTCCGGGAACCATGGAGACAACAGAAGCTGTCTCCAGCCAATATGTCCTTGCCAGTCCTGAAGTAATCTGGCTGGGCTCTTTACCAGCCACTCTAGTAGCTGAGCACAGAAGAAAGGATCTGAACAGCTCACCCCTGACAGCTTCAGTCATTGAAAAAGGAAAACAAAGTTTACAACAAAAATCTAACATGAAATTACATTCTTCAGTGAGTTTTATCCAACAATGCTTAACCCCTAACCCATCCCTCAGGAGGGCTGACTTCTGTTCTGCAACCTTCAGTCTTGACCCTATTGTTGATGCTATGCAGAGGAATCTCTCCAGTTTGTATCTGTGAACTCATTAATCTAGATTCCAATCTCAAGCCTACTTGTTAGCAATGGCATTGAATGAGTCATCTGACCTCTCTCTACCACTCAGCTTGATCATCTGTAAAACGAGGACAATAATGCTACGTAGATTGTAGCTTGTTTGGAGAATCAGATCTAAGAACTCAGTGTGAAAGTCCCCAGCCCAAAGTGTGGCATAGATTTGCCACTCAGTGGTATTCAGTAAATTCAAAGGATTGTTATCCATATTTTCAGAAACGTTTTACCAAAGTTTATGGAAGCTATCTTTTTTTCTTTCTTTGCAGGGAAAACGTATCAGAGACTTCTCTGGAAATTGCTAACTACACCTAATTTCAGCTGAGTTATTAATGAAAGCTTAGTGTGAAACTAAAGGGTACTTAGTCCTTCAGACAGTGTTGAAAGAGAATTATTATTGTTTTCTGCCTTGGGGCACTGAACAGCTTTGGTGGTGATTGTGTGCAAAGTAAATACTGTGCTGTATAGAGATTAAATAAGCCACGGAGAGTTAATTGGAATCTGTTCCACACGAGCAGATGTCTACCTCCAGGGCTGGGCTGGCTGGTCAGATGGCTCCAGGGAGCTGGGCTTCCTCCCTGTCAGCTCCAGTCTCTTTTCTTGCTTCCTCCTGTCACTACTCCTGTGGCTTAGTGTCCTCTGGACCCTCAGAGGACTGCAACTTCTGCCTCCCTGGGCTGAGGGCTCGCCATTCATTCCAAATTGTCAGTTTTATTCTATGGTTTCTATTATTTGAGAGAATATGGGCTCTGCAATCAAACTATAAAAAGATCTCCTTTTCCTTTGTGCTTATCAAACTGGAAAATACAAACAGGTTGTTGATACTGCCCTATATTGGAATGCTTGTTGGGAGTAATAGGTTTCACTGCTGGGAATAGAAAACAATATATTCTTCAAGAAGGACATTTGATCAT